ACTTATAAGAAGAATGACCTGAGGTAAGTTAGCTACTTCAATCTTTTGGTTTTGGTTTTTTGAGACAGGATCTCAGTATGTATTCTAGGTTGGTCTTGAACTCACTATGTAGCCTAGGCTGGTCTCCAACTCACAGCAATCCTCCTGCCTCAGCCTCCTGTGTGCTAGAATTACAGGTCTGCATGGCTCTTCTTAAATCTTTTGAGCTTCAATTCTATTATCTTTAAGATAGGATAATAAAAGTAACTACCTCACATGTTTGTTTTTTTTTTCCTCACATGGTTTTTAAAGAGACAAAGTTCATGTATTCAGTGGATATTACAGAGAATCTATCATGTGCCAAATACTGTTTTTTTTTGAACCGGGGATTGAACTCAGGACCTCATGCTTGCCAGGCAGGCACTGTGCCGCTGAGCTACATCCCCCCCCCCTTTTTGGTGGTTAGGTTACATTAGGGGATAGGTAAGCTCCTTGCCATTACACCAGGGAAGACAGATAACAAAAAATCGGAAAAATAAGTAAGCTATGTAAGTTAGTGATAAGTGTAATGGAAAACTAGAAGGGAGCATGGTGGAGAGGGACTGTAGGTGGTAGTGGGGGTATGGAGGTACAATTTGATAGAAGGAGGTGTAGGCTGGTTTTATAGACGTGAAGGAGGTTAGGGGTGACCAACAGACATCTGAGCAACAAGGAGGCCAGGCCTGGGAACAGCTACTGCACGAAGAAAACCCTGGAAGACGATATGGCTGGATCCAGTGGAACTAGGGGGAAAGGAATATGAGATAGGTTAGAGAAATAGCCCAGGCCGGCTCTGGTGAAGTCTTGTAGGCCCCAGGCAAAGATGGAATGAGGTATTCATGTTGAGTGCCTAGAACAGCGCGGTACACAGCAAACACTTAAACTGTGTCTGGATGTCTATGGATAGCTTCTGGTCTCTTGGCAAAGCTGGGCTCTAAGGTCCACCTGCAGGGACTCTGGCATCGTTTGTGTACTCTGGCGGGGTTAGAGAGTGCTTCAGCATTTCCAAAAGTACAGAATTCAAAGAGATCAAAGGCTGGGTGCTCCCAGCAGCCAGGAGAGATGGTTAATTCTCTGCAGGTGCTTTGAACGCTGAGCTGACACAGCCCTGCAAAGTCAACACCAGCTCGGCACCAATAAAAGAGAGGAGCGGGTGTGGCGCAGGGTGGGCTTGGCCACAGGCTGAAACCGACAGAAGTTGTCAGCCACGTGACAGAAAACGCAGCAGAGCATGGCCATGTCCCCTACAGCAGTTGAAACCCATCCTAATATCAGTAAGACCACAAAGTCAGGAAGATAATGACTACAAACTGCCGGGGAGCAAGCCAGGGAGCCTGGAAACATGCATGCACTTGCAAGGGGGAAGAAACAAATTAAGAGATTGGAGTGAAAGTATCCCCTTCTCTCTCAGAGGCTCTTTAATCTTTAATATCTCTCTTGACACTCGGCACTGATCTTGCCCCAACAAGATGAAGGTTAACTTCTGAGACGCTAAGACTTCTGGGCTGGGCGGGCGAGGGACTTCTAAGGAGGTGAGTGCCACATATCTGCCAGGCCGCCTCACCTAGGGCAGGTCAGGAAGGTGCATCCGCCAGCCCTCTGCCCAGCCTCCTCCGGGCTTTCAAAGGGTGGTCCACCGGCAGGGCCCCGGCTGCCCCCAGGAATGTGGTTCCTTTGGGAGCCCAGCTGGCAAGAATGTAATGAAGGCTGCGTGGAGATACCCAGGCTGGGCTTTAACTGCCCCAAACTGTGCCAGTTTCTTCTGGCTCCTGCCCTAGAGAAAGCAAAGGCAGGCACTGTCCAGTAGAAATTTGGAAGTGGGCACCCTTTGTGGCCTCAGTGCCAGGTTGGCAGGAGAGTTTGTTGTGGCATTTAGTTTCCATGACCCTGACCCAACCTATGCACTAGGGAGCAGTTTAGCCTGAGTCAGAGGAAGGAAGAACAGAGTGAATCAATGCATGTGCTCTTTGACTCAACCCATTCAATTTGTAATTAAAGCTATTGTTAAAATCAGTATAAGAAACTGTATTTTCATCCCATTCCTCAACACATTTGTCCACCCTTACCATTCCTGATGGTAACCTTGTATGTTTGCTGTGGGAGTTCTTCACTGCTATTGTCTTACCCATTTATTCAGACAATAAGTATTGTCAGTTGGGCGTGGTGGTGCACACCTGTAATCCTAGCACTCTAGGAGGCTGAGGCAGGAGGATCCCAAGTTCAAGCCCAGCCTGGGCCTCTAGTGACTTTAGTGAGACATTGTGTCAAAAAAAAAAAAAAAAAATTAAAAAGGACTGGGAGTGTAGCTCAGTGAAAAGGTCCTGAGTTCAATGCCCAGTACTATTAAAAAACAAAGGATTGCCAGAGACTGTGCTAGGCTCTGAGGAAAGAGCTATGGGTGAGACAAAGATCTCTATTTTCACGCTACTTATATTCTAGCATGGTGGTGGTGGAGAGATAGATAATAAGCAAGTAGTGAAAAAAAAATACTTGTATCAAAGTACTTTTGCTTTATTTTTGGTACTGGGGATCGAAGTCAGGACCTTGCACTTTCCAAGCAGGCACGCTGCCACTGAGCTAAATCCCCAGCCCTTCACCAAAGTACTTTTGATGACCTGAGTTCAGTGCAGTGCTATGCCCAGAGCCCCGGAGGGAAAGCAGTGTGAGATCAGAGTGCAGGACTGTGTCTTTGGGAAGCTGAACTGACCAGGCGGAAGGGGCAGCAGTGGCACCCGGGGAAGGAGGGCTCGGTGAGCGGCAGGACTGGGAGATGGGCCCAGCAGTAAGCGTTTGGCTTCCCACCTCCCAGGCCTATGTACCAGAGCTATTTCTGTCTCTCCTGTGTTACAATCTGCTAAAGACTTTGCTCTACCAGGCCTGGGAAAGGAACAGCACTGAATGAAGCAGAATCCCAGGGCATGCAAGGTCCTAGAGAGCCAGGCTCCATGGGGAGGGTGCAGACACGGGGAGGGACTGTGGTCCCAGAGCACAGTAAGGCGAGGGCTGTGAAATTCGTTTCCCCTGAGGTGCCACCTGTTGTTGCCAGGGTTAACTGGCAGAGCTGTCTGTGTGAACGGCTGCAGGACATCCAAATCACAGCACTGTTTCACACATCCCTGTCTCGAGTCACCGAGGATGGGTTTCCGAGCCTGCAGCAGCCAGCAGTGAGGCACAGAGGATTCCACTGGATTATCCAAAGCATCTGACCCGCAAATGAGGAGTGAGGAGAACACTTTTAAAAAACAACTCCTGAACGGTTCACAGAGCCAACTCGACATTGAACAGAGACGCAAACAGCCAGCCACCTCTGAGGCAAAAGGTCAATTTCTTGTGCTTGTCTTGGTCTTCGGAATCTAAGTTCTTGGTCTGAGTGTGGCCCCAGTTTGCTCAGCCCGTGGGATGGGTGTGGCATAGACGGCAGCGACACTGTGGTCTGAACCCAGAGAGGGAGTGAAGCTGGAGCAGCTAGGGCAGGGGCGTGGGAGAAGAGAGCAGGCTGCGTCCTCCAAAAACACAGGCTTTTTCAATTTTGATTTTATTTTTGATTGACACGTAATTACTATACATATTTATGGGGTAGAGTGCAATGATTCAACACATGTGTACCAAGGCAACAAGCACTCCCGCCTCCCTGTCATGTTTCTGTTCGGAGCCTTGAACACCTCCCTTCCAATTTGATCAAGTTGGGGCAGCTGGGCTTTGCAGTTGAAGCAGCAGAAGCTGAGTGAGAGAAGCAAATTTCCATCCTGGATGAACGTGAGCTGCCTGCCTTGTGACTTCCTGAACTTTGTGATTCTCCTGATTGAGTCCCGGGCCCCTCCCACGTCCCTCTCTCTCCCCAGCCCTCACACACAGCTGCAAGGGTAAGATTTACTGGATGGAATGTGTTTGCAAAATCTGTTTTGTTCATTGGAACATGTTTATCAAGAAAGAAAGAAAAAAGCCCTGTCCCTTCTCACTATTTACTTTTTGGTGACTGCCTTGTGGGATTTGGAACTGGATAAACAGATGGACTTTGAGGGGGAAGCAGGCGGAATGCCAGGGCATGTATATATATCAGAGTCTCCGTGTATATGGCACAGAGTCTCCATCCAGGCGGCTGTGCTGGTTTTGGAGGGAAGCAGGGTCAGTATCTTCTAGAGTCCCATTGCTCCAAGGTGCACCTCCCTGGTGGGACCCTGGGCTGCAGGAGGCCAGATAATTTCTAGGGACACGATTTCATTTTCTGGTTGCTGGATGTGGCAGTTTTGGTTATACAAGATTCAAAGCTATTGCTTATCATTTATATTTTTATTTTTTTTAGTATGTCTGAGCACCTATAACGTGCCGAGTGTTTTCACTGTCCACAGCGATGATGAACCTTGTGCTCTGCAGTACCCTACAGAGGTACAGTTGTGTGCTACACGTGTGCACTGTGTGGAAGTCTTGGGAGCCTCGAGAGACAGTGCTTCGGGGCCACCGGAAGAGTGTGACTTCCATGGGAAATCGAGTATGGCAACCATGCACATGCTGCTGCTGACAGGGAACTGGGAGGGATGGTGGAGAAGCAGTTTCCCTCCTAGTTCTTTGCCACCTTCTCCAGTATAAATCTCTGCAACTGGGGGTGGGAGTGGGGAAAGGAATTCACAATGCAGTATATTTTATTTTATTTGGTACTGGGGATCGAACTTGGGTCCTTGCACTTGCGCAGCAGGCGGTGAAACCACTGAGCTAAATCCCCAGCCCAATGCAGTATATTTTAATAATTCAACATACTTTAATTCCAAGGCTTGAAGAAACTTTATTACATTTCAGAAGAATCTTTCAATTAAAAAAAATCTATTTTATACCAGGTGTGGTAGCACACACCTGTAATTCTAGATATTTGGGAGGCTGAGGCAGGAGGACTGCAAGTTCCAGTCTTAGTGAAATCCTGGCTGGAATTTTTTTTTTTTTGTACCGGGGATCGAACTTGGGTCCTTCTGCTTGCGCAGTAGGCGCCAAAACCACTGAGCTAAATCCCCGGCCCTCTGGTTGGAAATTTAAAAAAAAATTAAAAAGGGCTGTGCATGTAGCTCAGGGGCTGAGTGCCCCTCAGTTCGATCCTCAGTGCCTGGCAGGTGGGGAGTATATACATTCATTTGCTTCACAGGACAGGGTTCAGTGGATGTGCTCTTCCCTCCTAAAAAATTCACTTAAACAATAATTTAAAAAGCAACAATACCTCCAAAACAAAACTGGTGCCAAATAGAGCCAAGAAACCAAAAAGGTAAAACAATACAAAACCAAAAAAGAAAAAAAGGAGAAAAGGAGAAGGAAATGAACTCCCTGAGATAGAGTGGACCGAATTCATTAGTTTCAGGTAGCTCAAAGCAAGGACATGAAATAATTAGAGCCCAGCAGATGAAGGTGCTGTCGGTACTGGGACCTCATACAGGCAGGACAAAGGCCACTGCTTCTCACAAAGGTCCTATAGGCCTTTGCCCACAGTGAGCTCCACGCGAGGGATGCTGCCTGGGAATGAAAGGCCTCGGTCGTTCCTCTCCAGTGAGTGGAGTCTGGGAGGGGTGTTCCAGGCACTCTCACAATCACCCTTTAATAATACCCTCCAGAGAGCCTTTGATTCAAGGAACATACTGAAGAATAAACAGCCCATTAATCTGGGTTTCGGCTGTGCCTGAGTACACAAAGCGCCGATGAACTAACCCTTGGCTCTGCAGACATCCCGACTGCACCCCATCCGTGGCTGCACAGCAGGCGCCACCCCCTCCACCCTGGAAGAGCTTCAAGGTTTGGGGTCCTGATGTTTCATCTAAGGATGCTCAGGCCAAACTCGGGGTGCCAAGCACAGAGACAGCACATCCTCGTTTGGCCATTAGAAGGCACAGCTGTGTGGCCAGCTCCACGCAGAGCCGTGTGGCAGGCGACGGGGTGACACACAGAATCATCAGTCTGCCCCATCCTGCACCAAGCTGACAGCCACAGGCCTGGGAAAGGAAGGCCAGGCTTCACTGGCTCCTCGTCTTGGTTACCTTGGTGGCAGGAAGGGCTCCCGCACGGGTGGGCTCTGGGTGCTGTTCTGTGGAAACATTCCTGGGCATCTTGCCGAGGTAAAAATGGACAAATAAGGTCCCTGAGTTTGCAAGAAAGAAAGGAGAAGACAGAGAAGGAGCTGTTTCACCCTCAGATCCTTTCACTAGGAGCTCTTTAAAACGACCAGGTGTAGTTTTTATGATCACAGCCATTTGAGGAAGCATCAAGATTCTCCTTCCCACCTCACAGGAAATTGTAGCTGAAGGGGCAGACAGATGAACTTAAGGTAATAAACTGGGAGTTCAATCGCTGCACAGCATAATCGAGGCCAGATCACAAGCTGGGATCAGCCATCAGCCGAGGGGCCAGGTGGCTTCTCCGTGTTCTGTGGTCAACGACCTCCTGTGCGGCGTGTGCTTGGTCATAAAGGAACAGGTGTGACAGGTGGGTAAGTCACTGTGACAGCTACCCACACACAGACAAGCACATTCTCAAAGCACATATCCCTCTGACCTCAAATCCACACACCAAGGGAAACAGACCTAGTGAGAGTTTTCTTAAAAATAATTTCAAAGAGCTGGCTTGAATTAAAATTTAAAAATGAATTAAAGTCTTTTGATTCCCTTGTCAGAAAAGGACTTTGTGTTTAGTCTCCTGATCTGCAGAAGGATACGCCCCTCACCGGAGGGGGCCATGGAAAGTTGGCTCACTGCTTGTGACTCCCTGAGGTGGCGTGGGGCGTGAGCAAGAGCCTGGGCTCTGTGGTCTGACACAGCTCTGAGCGCCTCTCCCGCCACCTGTCAGATGTGCGACCTCGGAAATCTTACAGCAAATCAGTAAGCTCCATCTTTCTCGGCCATCAAAGGGAACGCCCGGGGGTTCCGTGCGGCTCTGTAGGGGTCACACAGGAAGCTCACTGGCGCTGTCTCCTGAGCAGGGTGAAATGGAGTGGCTGTGTCAGGCTGGGCACTCAGGACTTTGGAAACACAACTTTGAGGTTTTGTGGGGTTACGGTCAAAGGACAACGAGAGAAGGAACGCTGGTACTTTGGGGCCCTCATTTTTGCCTTGGCAAGTGCAGGCCGACCTGGAGTCTCCCACCCCACGCTCTGGCCGGGGAGATGCAGCCCTTTCCTCCGGCCGGCGTCCACCTGCTGTGATAAGCAGATGGAATCTGGGCACAAGAGGGGCTGACGGGCACAGATCTGGTATCAGACAGCCTTTCTCCGCAGCATTCTTGGGGCCATGAGATGACAAACATTCCAGCAGGCTGGAGCTAACCCTTCCTGTCCCGTAATGGGCCCGTGAAACTGCTTCTTGTGGTCAGAGCCATTGGTACCTCGTGGAGGCTGTGCGGTGCACTTCATTAATATTGATGCACTGTAGCTCGTTAACCTCATTTGATGTTTATTTACAGCCATTCTTCTTATATGCTAATGAGTGACACTGGGCCCTTCAGCTAGAAAGAAGGGAACTGGGCTCTCTCTGCCCAGCATCTCTTTGGCAAACTCCTGTCCTTGAAACAGAAGTCTGCTGGTGAAGCGGAGTGAGGCCAAAGGGAGGGAATGCGGCAGAGGGGACAAAATGATGTGAAAAGAATGTCTGCAATGTCAGGGCAAGTGAAAGCAGGGCCCAGCTGCCTCGGCCAGGCTGACTGAGGTTTGGTCACACCCACCCAGGGGCCACAGAGAAGCTGGAGGGCGGGTCTGGGGACAGAACTAGGGAGAAGGCTGGAGAGGAGTGGGCCCCTAGGGAGCTGGAAGGCTCCACTAGGATGGAAAGAACTCAACAGGCAGGGGCCGCTGGGTCCCCAGGTCCGGGCATCACTGTGAGGGGAGCAAGGAGAGCCTTCCTTTGCTCTTTCCCCGAGTTACAGTTTTAGATTTTTTTTTTTGGTACTGGGGATCGAACTCGGGTCCTTGCACTTTCGAGATACAGGTGGAGGCACCACTGAGCTAAATCCTTGGCCCTCGAGTTACGGTTATAAAGATCAGTGAACAGGGTGACAAATAGCAAGGAAAAGTTCAGAGACTGAGAAAAAATATTTTAATAATATTGCTACTCTGTTGTTTCAGGGCTGCTAAGCCTCAGAAAACACAAGGCTCTTCCAAATTTCAGAGTACAACAATGTGATGGGGTCAGAAGAGAAAATGCTGTAGGTATGTAAATGTTTACTGATACTAGCAGCAACAGCAAACTCAACATTTCTTAAATACTTAATGTCAACTGCCACCGATTGTTTTTTCGACCTGCACACTTGGCATTACTACTTAGATGATTATTCCTGTCCTGCTGTTGGGGGCCACACCCTCTTCTTTCTCCCAACCTGGCTGTTTCTGTGAAGCACTTTGAAGAGCATTCCTACTCTTGATGTGCCTTCCTGTAAGGCTATAGAGGCAGGAATAAAGAGAAATCCCTTACCTTAAAGATTTAACCACAGCTTACGTGACTACAAAGTATTGGTTCTAATGGGCACATTTTATGTTTGAGATGTTTGTCTGAAATCATTATCCCTTAGGGTACTTCTTTCAAGTTTTCTATGAACTTAGTTCCTCCTGGAATAGCGATCCGGATTAAACCTGACGACCTACACCTTGTCTACGCCTAGGGACAAAGGTGTCTGACAGAGGAATTGACAGCCACATGCTTGTTCTAGACATAGCAAAGTTTCTCAACTTTTTATCTCCAGTCCCACCATCTTTTAAGATATTTTTTTCCAACTTCTTATCCTCCATAAAATTTTAATACCCTAGACATAATATGTATCTTTTAAAAAAATACTGGAGGGCCACAAGTCATTATAATATCTGATTTTTTGGAAACTTATATAAAAAAAGTATGTCATCTGATTTAATGTGTTCCAGGATTGGACCTAATATTCTCCCAAAATGAACCATTAAACACAAAAAGAACTTCTCTCTGCATGTGTATATGTGTGTGTGTGTGAGAGAGAGAGAAGAGAGAGACAGGGAGAAGAGAGAGGGATCTTTGTGTCTATCTAGTTAATGATAGTTCTTCAAGGAAGAGATCAACATTCTTTTTCCCATACTGGACCTGGCCTATCCACAGAATAAATGGCTTAATTTTGGGAAGTGGATTAGCTTTTTACAATAGTCCTATTTGAGTGCTGGAAGAGGTAATAGATCGTCAGGCCCCTTGGGGACCCCTAAGTAGCTCATTTGAGAAGTCAATAATATGCTCCCTTGTAAGTGTAGCCTTGAGTCAATTATCTCATTAGCTGTCTCCCAAAGTCCAAAGGAAGACAGTGATTGGTGTTGCTCTTCCCCTCCTACAAGAAGAGAGCCAATGACATTGAGATATTAGGTGGCTTAATTTAGGTCACAGGAGCTGATGTTTCTTCATAAAAACATGTCATACAAGGCTGCTCTGAGCTTTCTAGGCCTTCTATCTTCTGCTTCTTACTTTAATCTAGGATTATCGTATTCTTCCAGAGAAGAGTTTAGAACTGCAGCCAATCTCTTGTAAAACAGCAACCTTTGGAACAATAGCCTACTTCTCCTTCTCTGTCCCCAACAGTCCATTCTTGGAGGCTCTCTAGCATCTTCTATTGCTTTTCTCTGTCATCCAGAGAGGGAAGGTGTTGGCAGAGGCAGAACAACCTTTATAAACACCAACCCCATCCTACCCCTTCATATCACCATGGCGACTGTGGATGAATTGGAAGGGCAGTGTGGAGAATGAGCATTCCACTCCCAATGCCGACTTGTCTGTGTCAGCAGCATTTACCAACCTTGTTCCAGGAAGAAGCCCATCTTTTTCATTGGCAAGTGGCCAAAGAAAATACTTTCTCCATGAGCAGTGTGATGAGGCCATGGAAACAAGACTGTGCTATCAAACATCTTTATCCAAAGTGCTCAAAACATTTGCCAATATTAATCCCCACTTCTCACTTCCCCTTCTGCACCTTCCTCACAGCTTCAGGAGAAAAGGTAAACTTGTCACAGGAAGGCTGTGGCTTCTGCCCAGTGGTATACATCTGAACACAACTTTAGGGAAAGGACTTCCTGGAGGTGGGGGACCCAGAGTCTCTGGGGAGCCAGATGCTCCACACACACTGCCAAAGGCAGCGTGGCACACTGCTGCATGTGGCCCATGGGCCCAAGTATAAGATTTGGGCAGGAGAATGAAGGCATTTTCCTTTTTAAAGATAAGTAGGGAAACAGACCCACTGAGGCCCCAATCTTTTTCTTTTCTTTTTTTTTTGGTACCGGGGATCGAACTTGGGACCTTGTGCTTTCGAGGCAGCTGGTGGAACCACTGAGCTAAATCCCTGGCCCCTCCCAATCTTTCTCTCTCTCTCTCTCTCTCTCTCTCTCTCTCTTTCTTTTTTTCTTTTTTTCTTTCTTCAAGTAGTATTACTATCCTGGTTTTGTGCTCAGTAAACACTTGTATAGGAAGTTAAAAATATAAGATAAATAACTTACTCAGAATTACAAAGTTGGTCTGCAACAGAGAGGGTTATAGGATCCAGGGGTCCACTTCACACAGTGACCCACCTAGAGGTTGGAGAGTTAGAAACCAACCTCAAGAAACAGAGAAAAGGAACAGGCAGGAAGCCCTTCAGTCCCAGAGTTTAGCACAACACTGTGGTCCAACCTCAGAGGCACAGATATTTTACAACTCAAGGTTTAATTAACTGGTGGCACTTCTTATTCCATAGCTTTGCACAAATGCATAATTAGGTGTTGCACACTTGATTACCAAAAGACTGGGCTCACATGGTCAGGCAGGGAATGAAGGTAGTGAGCATGCCGCAGAGAGTTGGCTTTAAAATTTAAGGGACACCGTTCAAGGTAAAGTGTCTCTCCCTTGCCCTGCATTCCAAGTGGTGGTGCCCCCCCGGCACTGCTAGCTGCAGTCCCACTAGACAAGACAGAGACCTTCTCCCGCTAGCAGCGCCTGGGCTCAGAAGTCCCCTCCCTCATTAGGACGCCCACAAGGAGCCTCAGGACACAGTCAAATACTAGGTCATGTAGACAGAGGATTTGATACTCAAATTTGCTATGGCTTGAAGTAGGTGCTTTTTGTTTGTTTGTGTTTTGAGATAGAGTCTTGCTATATTGTTTAGGCTGGCCTTGAACTCACTAGGTAGCCCAGAGGGCCTCAAACTCAGGGTGATCATCCTGCCTCAGCCTCCTGAGTGCTGGGATTACAGGTGTTTGCCACCACATCCAGCTAAAGAAACCATTTCAAATGAGTAGATTTTATAAATGAACATATAGGTCATGAGGAAAGTGATGAGGATAAAAGAATCTCTATGATGCCATGAAACCAAAGTTTATAAACAAAGTTTCCTGTTGCCTGAGATGAATCCAGTCAATGCAAATGTGGCCATGGCTGGCAGGCACCTCATTAATGTTTGCTCCCTTCATCCAGACCCAGACCTCCAGGCAAGGAAACAATTACATTTCGACATTTCGGTTAAAAAAAATCAATTGTGGGTCATTGTTGGAAGCAGCTATGAGGCAAATTCAGATGCACAGAAGAGAGGTTACCTGGGCAGGGAGGGGGGAAAGCAGGAGAGAGGGGTGATTATTTAATGGGTACAGAGTTTCAGTTTGGGATAATGCGTGGGTTCTGGATGTGGGCAGTGATGATTGTACCACATGAATGTACCGAATATCGTGTGTGGAATTGGTGTACTTACAGATGGTTAAAACGGCAAATTTTATGTTACATATATTTTACCACAATAAAAAAGATTTTTTTAAATGCAGAAAATGGGTTCTTTGACTATTCTTTACAAAACAATGTGGCTGAGGTGGTTCCCCAAATTTGCCTGTTCTTTGGAATCGCTTGGGGGCTTACTGAAGTCACAGATTCTCTGGCCACACCCAGCCTGGCCCAACTCTTTGTTTTCGAGAGTCGGCACTTATTTGAAGTAGTATCTCTTCCTAAGTAACAGAAAGTAGGGTATCTTCCATTGTTTGTAGTTTCTGGCTTAACAGAGGGTCAAATTGGAACAGCTTGGCCACCACCAATCTATAGTTATCCTCTAAACTGAAGCCACAGATGGTCTGCAGTGATACTCTTGTTATTTCTACTCTGTTATTTCTGTTTCTCTGGGACTTCACTGCATGGGAGCTGCTCAGCAATGAATAAAGTGGCTTTTTTTGGTACTGGGAATCGAACTCAGGACCTTGCGCTTGTGAGGCAGGCGTGGCACCACTAAGCTAAATCCCTGGCAGCAATGAATAAAGTAGACAAATAACAACATATTTGGAAAGAGCTAGGAATTTGTACTTGTTAGAGATGATACCAGGCTTCCTTTTTGGCTCAAGGAAGATGCAGGGATTTTGTGTACAGCAGAAGGTAAAAAGATGCTGGAATACCCAAGAACATTAAAATTAGAAAAGAAAAAATTCTATATATGACTTAAAGATGAGTTGGGTAAAGATTTTCTTCCCATAGGAAGCCAAAACACATAGTGCCTCACTCTGGCAGGGCTGCGTTTGCTGACCTGGAAGCTTTAGCGGAGCAGTATCATTGACGGGTTTGAAGGGAGTTTGGAGTCCCTTATACAACTGACTGTGCTGGGATTTCTAATCATTTCATATTTTTCCTTTTAACTGAAGAGCAATGGGAAAGGGAAACCTGTAGAAACTGGCGTTGGACAAGAGAGCAAAGTTCAGGGAGAAATTCTCTCCCATACTGGCAACCAAAACAAGACTCACCCTGAATCTGACACAGCTGGTCCACTCAGTCCCTTCCACCTCAGTGACTTTTAAGGGTCACAAAAAGCTCTTCAGGCTGAACTAAGCAAATCTCGGGAAAGTTCAGGAAAAAGATGCAGTGACCGACACACTTTGTCTTGGTCATGCCGTCGCTAGCCATCTCTCCTCAGAAAAGCATTCCTCTAGTTCGAGGGATGAGCTGACAGGAAACAAGTTTTAAGTCAAATCAAATCAATAAAGACATCTTAAAATAACATAACAGTCTTATTTCTATAAGAACTGCCCTTCCTTTAGCCTGAAATAAAACTGTGACACTCTCTACTATTATTACAGGGTTAAAAAGGATGACCTACCAGAATCTATAAAACTCAGGCTTAGGGGCTGGGGATTTAGCTTAGTGGTTCCGGTGTCTGCCTTGCAAGCGCAAGGTCCTGAGTTCGGTACCAAAAAAACAAAAACAAAAA